GCTTCTATGACTTCGTGCTTACTGTTCAGTTCCTCGTAAGAATAACACACGCAATACACACTGTATACATGCATGCATCCATGCATGCATGCATGCATGCATGCATGCATGTATGCATGCGTGTATGTCTGTAGTACAAATTTCATTCCTTCTGCATACATCCATGCATACATGCATGCACCGAATTCTGCCCTGTATATATGCATGCACACACACACACACACACACATGCATGCATGCATGCATGTATGCATGCATGCATGCACGCATGCACGTGAAGAGGAGAAAGGTACGATGTGTGTTGTGTGTGTTTCAGGCGATGGGTAGCGGGAGCGTGGGTATTGGCTTTCGAATGAAGGACAGCAGCAGCGGCTATCTGCTGCTGCTGCAGCAGAAGAGCGGCAGCAAGAAGCTGCTGCGTCTGGATAGAGGAGAAGAGACAACCATCGCCGAGAGAAGAGACGGCGGCTACGTGCAGGGCGAGTGGCACCGCGTCAGGATAGAGGCAGCTGGCGGCCGCATAAAAATTTGTGTGGGAGAAGAGAATGAAACTGAGGCGGAGGTGCTCACGTAAGAACAAGTACACAGCAGCAGCTCTCGGCTGTAATATATTAAATAAATAAATAAATAAATAAATAAATAAATAAATAAATAAATAAATAAATAATATTTATAGAATGCATGTACACTTAGAATGATAGAATATACACAAACAAACAGAGATAAACACACACACAAACAAAACAGAATAACTGGCTATGCATACACCCCAATATATGTTGTATATACACCTCAACACAAAACATAATCCTCTCTGTACTCTGCATACACCTGAATACTATACATGCATCTAAACATTGCGTATACACCTGAAAACTGAAAAAATATATCCAGCTGAGAGCTGCCGATACACCTGAAAGCTGCCTATACACCCCACGCAAGCCCCAACTATCTTTTTTTTATTTTTTTTTTTATTATTTTTTTTTTTCAGAGCTCTTGACGAGAGTTTTGTTTCCGGGACGATCGCTTTCTTTTCTTCGGGGATGCAGGACGGGGTGTATTTCGATGCTCTTTCTGTTGAGGCTGTTGCATGCATGCAGCTGCAGCAGCTGCTGCCGCCGCTGCCTCCTTTTTGTTCTGTATTCGTTGAGAGCTACTTCAGCAGCGTCAGTGCTCTCTACACCATCATAGACGGCAGAGACAAAGGAGAAAACACAGGCCGCTGGGAATACAGAGTAAGGCTAATAATACAATACTTTATATATATACGAAACAGCAT